CCAGGCACAGGGAGAACATGAAAACTCCAGGCACAGGGAGAACATGAAAACTCCAGGCAAGTCACATGACAAGTTGCACTCTTGTGAACAGCGGCTAACAACACATAGGAAGTGGCCGAAAACTGGCTGCAGTAGATCTGCCACGCCGAGCTGCCATAAATTCATGAACAAACACAAAGTGGAGAAAACGATTGCATGGTTAGTTGTCTATAATACATAACGGTTCGCTCCGAAAACCCCAGCACCAAGAAACCCAACCTTGGGAAATGCCACCGGAGGAAGTGGCTGCAAAGAGGCTGCGGAAAATCAGCAGCCAGGACATGCACCACAGTCTATAGAAAAAAGGAAAAAGAAAAAAAAACCAACAACAACAAAAAAAGGTGTAAAGTGTTGTTTCTGAGAAATGTCACCCAGCTAGGCTCTGTAATGAAATGCTGGGCTCTCTGTGCTGCACATCAGATGATAATCTATGCAGAGACAGCCAGATCTGAACACATCAAGGAGGAGGAGGGAGGGGTGGTGGCTTTTGAAGTCTGAAAATCAGGGATGCTCCCCCCTAAAATCAGAGACATCTGTCAGCTCAATCCCATGCCATGCCATGCCAGCCCCATCCATCCAGCAAAGGATCCGGTGGGTGCGGAGTGCATACAGTATACAGTGTACAGAGTGCATAGTAGCCATCCATCTGTATGGAGTAGCCTTCCAAATGTATATAGTGTATAGAGTGTATATTGTATATAGTGTATATTGTATATAGTGTATATTGTATATAGAGTATAGAGTGTATATTGTATATAGTGTATATTGTATATAGAGTATAGAGTGTATATTGTATATAGTGTATATTGTATATAGTGTATATTGTATATAGAGTATAGAGTGTATATTGTATATAGTGTATATTGTATATAGTGTATATAGAGTATATAGTGTATATTGTATATAGTGTATAGAGTGTATATTGTATATAGAGTATATAGAGTATAGAGTGTATATTGTATATAGTGTATATTGTATATAGTGTATATTTGTATATAGAGTATAGAGTGTATATTGTATATAGTGTATATTGTATATAGTGTATATAGAGTATATAGTGTATATTGTATATAGTGTATATTGTATATAGTGTATATTGTATATAGTGTATAGAGTGTATATTGTATATAGTGTATATTGTATATAGTGTATATAGTGTATAGAGTGTATATTGTATATAGTGTATATTGTATATAGTGTATATTGTATATAGTGTATAGAGTGTATATTGTATATAGTGTATATAGTGTATATTGTATATAGTGTATATAGTGTATAGAGTGTATATTGTATATAGTGTATATAGAGTATAGAGTGTATATAGTATATAGTGTATAGAGTGTATATTGTATATAGTGTATATTGTATATAGTGTATATTGTATATAGTGTATATAGAGTATAGAGTGTATATAGTATATAGTGTATAGAGTGTATATTGTATATAGTGTATATAGAGTATAGAGTGTATATAGTATATAGTGTATAGAGTGTATATTGTATATAGTGTATATTGTATATAGTGTATATTGTATATAGTGTATATAGTGTATAGAGTGTATAGTATATATAGTGTATATTGTATATAGTGTATAGAGTGTATATTGTATATAGTGTATATTGTATATAGTGTATATTGTATATAGTGTATATAGAGTATAGAGTGTATATAGTATATAGTGTATAGAGTGTATATTGTATATAGTGTATATAGAGTATAGAGTGTATATTGTATATAGTGTATATTGTATATAGTGTATATAGTGTATAGAGTGTATAGTATATATAGTGTATAGAGTATCTAGAGTGCATAGAGTGTTATATATAGTATATAGTGTATAGAGTGTATAGTAGCCATCCATATGCATACAGTATTTAGGGTATATAGTGTAATAGTGAATACAGTATATATATTGTATATATAGTGTATTGTAGCCATCCATATGTATATAGTGTATACAGTATATAGAGTATACAATGTATATGGAGTATAGAGTATATTTATAGTGTATAGTAGCCATCCATCTGTACAGAGTGTATATACAGTATATATAGTATACAGTATATATGGAGTGTGTGTATATATATATATAGTAGCCATCCACATGTACGGAGTGTATACAGTATATATAGTATACAGTGTATATGAAGTATATATATATATAGTAGCCATCCATATGTACGGAGTGTATACAGTATATATAGTACAGTGTATATGAAGTATATATATATATATATAGTAGTGATCCATATGTACGGAGTGTATACAGTATATATAGTACAGTGTATATGAAGTATATATATATATATATAGTATCCATCCATATGTACGGAGTGTATACAGTATATATAGTACAGTGTATATGAAAGTATATATATATATATATAGTAGTGATCCATATGTACGGAGTGTATATACAGTATATAGGGTACACAGTGTATATGAAGTATATATATATATAGTAGCCATCCATATGTACGGAGTGGGGGCTGTGCGCCGGATCATGCCCATACATCATCCAGCAAGGCAATGCAGCATTCTCTATGACCTTGTGGGCTACTTACCGGCCCCTGGAAGCAGCCAAAGCAGCAGAAGGAAGCGGATCATCCTGGGGCCATGGAGCTCAGAGGCAGGCTGGTGCCGAGCGGGGTTGGTTGGGATCCAGGCGCAGGTAGGGTGCTGGGCTTTCAGATCTCCCCCGTCCTCCCGGCTGTCAAAGCCCAGCACGGCTCCCCGGGAGAGGATTGGGGATCAGGGGTGCCGGGGGGCGGAGCCCGGCTGCACATGTTCAGGACACCCCGATCCCAGCTGTGTGCTCTGCCCGTGTCACATCCACACTACTGTCACTTGTAGATCCCAAATCTCCTCCCCCAAACCTGGAGGAGGAGGGGGAGGAGGGGGGGGGCTCCATACACCACCCCCCACTGCTGCATCTGGGGGCCACACCACCCCCAGCTGCTCCTCAGCGGATAATGGGATCCTTCTGGATGCATGCTCCGTAATAAATCCCAGGCAGCGTCTTCATCTTCCAGCCCAACGCACACGGAGCGATAAAACTGAACGACCGATATCTGCTGCGACAAAACCATCCACGAGCGACTGGGAAAAAAAGATCGCAATAACTGAAAAAATGGCGCATATGGCAGTTTTCCACATCCACACACGCTTCAATAAACGATCAATTTATTTTCCGATCGCTCTCTTTCGATAGGAGTAATCAATCATATCATAAATCAATTATAGTTGACAACCTATTCAATCAAATCTGCCGACAGCCATAACTTCCCTTCTGAACTATTCAATCAACTCGATCGACTCGATTTTGATTAAACTGAGTCGATTGTCCAGAAAATGATCGATCGCTTTGCATTGAGATACATTGTTCCTGAATACGATCGTATTTTGATCAGATTATGGGATTACACGATGGAAAAAGAAATGCAAATGATCATTTACGATCATAATGGTGGCCATACACGCTTCGATATATGATTGATTTATTTTCTGATCAGTTTCTTCCGATAGGAATAATCGATCGATCTATTCAATCCATATGACACACACGGGGAAGAGGATTTAGATCGATTAGTTAAGACGTGATCATAACGAACAATTACAAATGATTGATCTCAGCATGTCATCTCATAATCTGACCGATGAAAATACAATCTCATTCTTGAATTTGGCATTGGTAGCCACGCACGCTTCAGATTTTTTTTTTTTGTGTGTGATTCGATCAATGTGATCGAATCTGCAAGCAATTGAATAGCTATAACAGTTTTGAATCAATTTCAATTGGATTCAATCAAACTCAGCCAGGGCAAAATACAATCGACCAGTCTTGTTTTTCTGATCAGTCTCTTCCAATAGGAATAATCGATTATAGCCAACAATCTATTAGATTGATATGACACACACAGGGAAGTGGATTTTGATCGATTAGTTAAGATGTGATCACAACGAATGATCATAAATGATTGATCTCACCATCAGGGGCGGACTGACCATTTGGAAACTCGGGCATTGCCCGAGGGCCCGGGGTTAGCAGGGGGCCCCATGAGATGCCCCTGGTACCTTTTTCATAGGCTTTTTTGAGTTTGGGCAAGGCCACAGGGGCCCCATGATCCCCTATTGCCCGGGGGCCCCATGAGTTGTCAGTCCACCCCTGCTCACCATATCATCTCATAATCCGATCGATGGAAATACAGTCGTATTCATGAACATGGTATTGGTGGCCCCATATTCTTCAGGGTTTTTTTTTTCTTGTTGTAAGATCACAGCACAATTCGATTGAATCTGCAAACGATCGAATAGCCATAACAATTTAGAATCAGTTTCGATGATTCAATCAAGTTTAGCCAGGGCAGAATACTATCGATCACTTTGCACCAATCAGCAGCACTGAGATACTTTGTTCGTGAATACAATCGTATATCGATAGATTCGATTACATGGAGGAAACAGAGGTGCGATCAATAACTGATGATTGTAATGGTGGCTAGAAATGCTTCGATAAACGATCAATTTCTTTTCTGATCAATCTCTTCCAATAGGAATAATCAATTATAGTTGACAACCCATCCATCAATATGCCACACAGGAGGAAGTGGATTTAGATAGATACAATCATAATGTACAATCATCAATCACACCCAGGGGCGGACTGACCATTTGGAAACTCGGGCACTGCCCGAGGGCCCAGGGTCAGTAGGGGGCCCCATGAGATGGCCCTGGTACCTTTTTCATAGGCTTTTTTGAGTTTGGGCAAGGACACAGGGGCCCCATGATCCCCTATTGCCCAGGGGCCCCATGAGTTGTCAGTCCACCCCCTGATCACATCATAATCTGATCGGAAATACAATCGTATTCATGAACAAATTATTGGGGGGGGGACACTCTTCAATTATGCAATCGATATGATTGGATCGGCATACAATCAAATAGCCATAACTTCCGATCAGGGGCGGACTGACAACTCATGGGGCCCCCGGGCAATAGGGGATCCTGGGGCCCCGGTATCCTTGCCGAAACTCAAAAAAAGCCTATGAAAAAGGTACCAGGGGCATCTCATGGGGCCCCCTACTGACCCCGGGCCCTCGGGCAGTGCCTGAGTTTCCAAATGGTCAGTCCACCCCTGCTTCTGATCGATTTAGACTCTATTTTGATTGGATTTGATCAAACTGTGTCAATCATCCAGCACAGAAAATTATCGATTGCTTTGCACTAATCAGCAGCATTGAGATACATTGTTCATAAATACGTATTTTGATCAATTCGATTTTGAGATTACGTGGTGAAAACAGGGTTGCAATTGATCATTTACGATTACAATTTGTGGCTATACACGCTGCAATATAGGATTTTTTTTCCCGATCAGTCTCTTCCAAAAGGAGTAATCAGTGATCGTCGAAAAGCTATTCGATCAATATGCCGCACACAGGGCAAGTGAATTTCAATTGATAAGTTTGATACAATCGTAACATGCGATTATAAATGATCGATCTCATGTCTGTGTCCATCATGCAAGCTCATAATCTGATTGATGGAAATACGATCGTATTCATAACCAATGAATTGGTGGCCACACACAAGCTTCAGCCCAGGTTCACACTGATGCGGTGCGGCATTTGCAGCGTTTTCAGAGCGAATTCCGCACGGCATCAGAATCGCGAACAGCTGCGGGTGTGTATGTTAACAACGCCCCGAAGGTTGTCCGCAAAACGCGGTGCGATGTGCAGAATCGGATCGCATAGGTGTGAATACCCATGCGATCCGATTCTAGTGCGGGCCAAAAAAAAGGGTCCTGCATATTTTTGGTGCGATTTGAGTCATACAAAATGTACGGCGCCAATCGCACCGCACACAAATCGCATGTGATTTGCACAGAACTGCGGTGCGGTTCCTGCGCGAATCACATGCGATATACTGCACCGCATATATGTGAACCCAGGTTGCATCTTGTCATGTCATCCCTTTGCAGTTCAATCAATATGATTGAATCAGCAAATAATCAAACAGCCATGACTTCCCTTCTGATTGATCTAGACCAGGCACGGACTGAGAACTCATGGGGCCCCCGGGCAATAGGGGTTCATGGGGCCCCGTGTCCTCACCCACACCCAAAAAAGCCTATGAAAAAGCCAATGAAAGGTACCAGGGGCATCTCATGGGGCCCCCTAATGACCCCGGGCCTTCAGGCAGTGCCCAAGTGCTCGAACGGTCAGTCCGCCCCTGATCTAGACTCAATTCCAATTGGATTTGATCAGACTGAGTTGATCGGCCAGCTTGACATTGTTCATGGATACGATCGTATTTTTATCGTTGAGATTACATGGTGGAAACAGATGCAATTATACATTACAATTGTAAATTACGATTCTTATTTTAGCTATTGATCAAAATCCACTTCCCCATGTGTGCCATATTGATCGATTAGGTTGTGGTTTATAGATCAGGGGTGTATGTACCACAAAGCAAACAAGGCATTTGCCTAGGGCGGCATTTTTCAGGGAGGCAGCACCGCCCTCCTGGAAGAAGGGACAGAAGAAGGGACACATGCGGCTTGGGGACCAGATGGGATCTGAGAGAGGCTGCGGGCTGCTTGACTCTCATTCCTGGGGATGTTCAGAGTTGTGAAGGTGTCTTTCTCTCTCTCTCGCTGGAAGGGGAGTGGATGGTGTATGGGGGCGATGGTAGTGGAAGGCTCTCTCGGGTGGGTTACATATACAGGAATCGATCCTCTCTATTTTATTCCTGCAACCGCTGAAAGCCGGCTTCTCCTCCTCTCCCACCTGCCGGAATTGAGGTGCTGCAGGAGGAAAGTGTTCAATTTGATAGTCAAAATAAAAAATTCAAACTTCTGGATCATTTCATTTTATTGTGGCCCGCGACTGACTACCAAATCACTTAAGCGGCCATCGATCTTCAAAAGATTTACCACCCCTGCTTTAGTCTAGGTTCACACCTGTTTTTTTCCGCTGCGTTTTGCAGAAACGCAGTACAGTCCGTTTAACATGACTTCCTATAGGACAGGTTCACATGTCCGCGTTTTCACCCGGTGCGTTTTTTGGAAAGGGTCATGGACTTTTTTTGAATGCAAAATTCTGCGGTTTTTGCGGTCTATAGACTTCAATGGAGACGCTGCAGAAAAGCCTAGGTTCACATCTGTGCGGGTGGTGCCGCTGCGGATCCACACGAAAATCCGTGCAGCCTCACCAGCCGCACAGAGGAATGCGGACCCGCAGGTGGATTCCATTAGTTCTAATAGCACGCCGCCCGCACTGGAAAACGCAACCGTACTGGGAACCGAGGGTCCCATGCGGGTTGCGTTTTCCAAAGAAGTACAGGGACTTCTTTCCCTGCGGGTCAATTTTTGGATGGGTGAAGGGTCCAATCAGGTCTGACTGTCAGCTTTTCAGGACCTGATCGAACCCTCCATTCACTCCTATAGACCGGCGGGTGTAAACTGACTTGTGTCCATTTACACCCGCCTACCTCCAATCCGATCTGGTCCACTGAAAAAAAAAAAAAATGGAAGGGGATCCCTAACCCTCCATCTAGCAAATCAGATCGGAGGGCAGTAGGACGCACACGGACAGCGGAGTCTGTTTTTACCCAGCCACTTTTTTGGTGTCTGATCACATTGTAGGAGGAGATTTTTGTTAATTTCCTGTACTGGAGGAACAATAGGAAGTGACCTGTTACTGGTCGCTGGGTCTGTTACTGTCAATGTGTCAGGTGTCCTCTTTTTGTCTGTGTCCCATCGGGATGATTTCCTTTCCCTTCCTGTCCCAGAGACTCAGCGGGAAGTATCCCCTCTTACCAGCGCTTTGTAGCTCCTCCCACAATCCCAAACAGGCGCCTTTCTTTATATCACAGAATGGTGCTCATTTTCAACTGCGGGATGCGGGAGGATGTCACTAGGACAAAGCGGAAAGTTCTCGTTGATTCTGGAGCCACCAGCTGCACATGCTCACTTTACTTCCTGTGTAAGCTCCAAATCATGTCAGATAGAGCTTACACAGGCAGAGGATTCCCTCCTGGCCTCCATGTGACCGTGGTGGGCCAATCACTGTTGCTGTCATGTGGGAGAAAGGTAGTGAGTCACATGCACCCCTTCCCCATAGCAGGTATGCCACTTTACCTCTCTAGATGGACAGGGCAGGGGGGAGGTGAAGGGGAGGTCAATTTTAGGGGTTGTCCACATTTGATTCAATCACTGCAGGTGAATTTTAAGTGCAGTAATCCGGAACAAAACCACATCCATTCTGTCTTCAGAAGAGCAAATTCGAATAGTTACACTCAGGGCCGGTTCACACCATGACCCCCGGTTCACATCTATGCGGCCGTGCGGGCTGCGTTTTGCTCGGACACGAAAGCCCATTCATTTGAATGTACTCCCGTGCCCGGGACACGCAGGGAAGAAGTCTCTGCACTACTATGGAAAACACAGCCTGCATGGGAACCTCGGTACGGTTGCGTTTTCCAGTGCGGGCGGCGTGCCATAACCCCCAGTTCACATCTATGCAGGTGGTGCTGCTGTGGATCCGCATGAAAATCCGTGCAGCCGCACCACCAGCACAGAGGAATGCGGACCCGAGGGCGGGTGCCATTAGTTCTAATAGCACGCCGCCCACACTGGGAAACGCAACCGTACTGGGAACCAAAAGCCAATCTTTCAGCACAAAACACCTATACCAATAACTACCACACCCTGAAGAAAAGTCAACAACTTTCACCCTTGAAAGTTAACGTGAATAATAGCGAACTTCTCTCCAAATTAAATTAAATAAATAAAAAAAATACATATATATATATAATCAATAAGTCATAATGTCCAAAAACATAAATGTTCTCAAAAAAATATATCCAAAATTGTCTCTATATGATACAGTCTTTTCACCTCCAAACAAATATTGTATTTCTTTACTTAATCCCACGTAATATTTCCAGATTCCTCGTATACCTCAAAAAAATAAACTCAAAATAGTGCAGGGGCAGACTGACTGATGGGGCCCCCGGGCAATAGGGGATCATGGGGCCCCTGTGTCCTTGCCCAAACTCCAAAAAGCCTATGAAAAAGGTACCAGAGGCATCTCATGGGGCCCCCTACTGACCCTGGGCTCTCGGGCAGTGCCCGAGTTTCCAAATGGTCAGTCCGCCCCTGAAATAGTGTATTACCTTTTATATAAATTATCAACGGGCTGACTGATGGGGCCCCCGGGCAATATGGGATCATGGGGCCCCTGTGTCCTTGCCCAAACTCCAAAAAGCCTATGAAAAAGGTACCAGGGGCATCTCATGGGGCCCCCTACTGACCCTGGGCCCTCGAGCAGTGCCTGAGTTTCCAAATGGTCAGTCCGCCCCTGAAATAGTGTATTACCTTTTATATAAATTATCAACGTGCCATAAATCGTGTATCATGCAAACTGCATGACATGTGCAAAAACACACGTGAAGGAAAAAAAAATGTGGATTTTATTATATTATTAATTTCTATATTGATTATATTATCTATTTTCATATTATATATACATTTTTTTTTCTTCACGTGTGTTTTTGCACGTTATGCAGTTTGCATGATACACGATTTATGGCACGTTGATAATTTATATAAAAGGTAATACACTATTTCAGGGGCGGACTGACCATTTGGAAACTCGGGCACTGCCCGAGGGCCGGGGTCAGTAGGGGGCCCCATGAGATGCCTCTGGTACCTTTTTCATAGGCTTTTTTTAGTTTGGGCAAGGACACAGGGGCCCCATGATCCCCTATTGCCCGGGGGCCCCATCAGTCAGTCCGTTGATAATTTATATAAAAGGTAATACACTATTTTGAGTTTATTTTTTTGAGGTACACGAGGAATCTGGAAATATCATCTGGGATTAAGTAAAGAAATACAATATTTGTTTGGAGGTGAAAAGACTGTATCGTACTGGGAACCGAGGTTCCCGTGCGGGCTGCGTTTTCGGAAAAAGTGCAGGGACTTCTTCCCTGCGTGTCACAGGGCATGAGAGTCCAATCAAACGAATGGGCTCTCGTGCCTGAGCAAAACTCGGCCCGCACGGTGTGAACCTAGAGTTAAAAAGCTCACCAACTGGATCGCATGCTGCCATTGTGTCATGCGGTCTGGGTGCAGGCACTGCGTTTGCGTCCTGCATTTGGGTTGGTGGCATTTACACGCACTTTCTAAGCCAGTTGTTGAATTTCTGGTGGGAGTTCTCCTGCATCCATACGGGGCATTTGATGGCATTTGATCACAGCAGCCTATTCTGGCTAGGGTGGAGCGGGTGTGCATGGTAAGTACAGGAGGCCTATTGTGCCTCCAATAAAGTGAGCCTGTTGCTTTGCTTCCTTTAGGTAAAGTACAGGTCCACCCGAAGAATTAGCACTCTTTTTACTGAATGAGGCTGAAGGTGCATTCGGTCTCCGAGGAACAAAGGGACAATTGTTAAAAGAAACAAAGTTATGGATGCACTTGTTATCAAGCCAAGTTTAAATGATAGTATTTTATTAAGTCTAGGCTTACACCTATGCAGGTTGCGTTAGATCTGTTTCTGCGGTGCGTTTTTGCCGCGTTTTGTGGGCTTTTTTTGTTTTTTATTTTTTTAATTTTTTTCTTGTTGCTAGGCAGATTTTAAATGCAAAACGCAGCAAAAACGCAATACATGCTTTTCTGCAGCGTTCCCATTGAGGTCTATAGAAACAAAAACGCAACATTTTACATTCAAACATTTCCTGACCCTTTCCAAAAAAACGTGAACGTGTCCCATAGGAAATCATGTTAAATGGACTGTGCATACATTCTAGGGGGGGTACAAGTTGGAGAATCAATGGTGGAGAAGGATCTGGGGGTTCTGGTAGATCACAAGCTTAATAATGGCAGCAATGCCAAGCTGCGGGTTCTAAAGCGAGCAAAATCCTCTCTTGTATTAAAAGAGGTATAGACTCCAGAGAGAGAGAGATCATTTCCCCCAGTGCAAATCATTAGTAAGACCTCATCTGGAATATGCAGTTCAGTTTTGGGCACCAATTCACAAAAGAACATTGGGGAACTGGAGAAAGTACAGAGAAGGGCAACCAAACTGATAAGAGGCATGGAGGAGATCAGCTATGAGGAAAGATTAGAGGAACTGAATGTATTCTCTCTTGAGAAGAGGAGATTAAGGGGGATATGATCTCCATGTATAATATATAAGGGGGGGATATGATCTCCATGTATAATACATAAGGGGGGATATGATCACCATGTATAATACATAAGGGGGGATATGATCACCATGTATAATACATAAGGGGGGATATGATCTCCATGTATAATACATAAGGGGGGATATGATCACCATGTATAATACATAAGGGGGATATGATCTCCATGTATAATACATAAGGGGGGATATGATCTCCATGTATAATACATAAGGGGGATATGATCTCCATGTATAATACATAAGGGGGGGATATGATCTCCATGTATAATACATAGGGGGGGGATATGATCACCATGTATAATACATAAGGAGGGATATGATCTCCATGTATAATACATAAGGGGGGGATATGATCTCCATGTATAAATACATCAGTGGTTCATATAGTGAACTTGGTGTAGAGTTTATTCACCCTGAGGTCATCACAGAGGACAAGGGGGCACTCTTTACATCTGGAAGAAAACAAATTTAATCTCCAAACACGGAAAGGTTTCTTCACAGTAAGAGCTGTGAAAATGTGGAATAGACTCCCTCAAGAGTTGGTTCTGGCCAGCTCAGTGGATTTCTTCAAAAAAGTCCTGGATTGTTTCTTAGATACACAGAATATAACTGGATATAACATTTATAGGTAAAGTTGATCCAGGGAATATCCCATTGCCTCTGGGGGGATTAGGAAGGATTTTTTTTTCCCTGCAGGAGCAAATTGGATCATGCTTTGCTGGGTTTTTTTGCCTTCCTCTGGAACAACTGTGGATATAGGATTATAACTTTTTTTTTTTCTATGGTTGAACTGGATGGACATTTGTCTTTTTTTCAGCCAGAGTATGTAACTATGTAACTGCGTTTCTGTAAAAAGCTGCAGAAAACGCTTAGGTGTGAACCTAGGGTAACACCTTATTTTGTTATTGTAATTTATTAATCTAAATGTTATTCATTTTATTAATACTTACAATTAAGCCACTTTCATTGGGATTGTATTAACTCTTAATTTCATTCATTTTAATTTATTCATCTAAATTTTAATAATTTTTATTAATACCAATACTTGCTATCAAGCCATTTTCATGGGATTTTATTAACACCTAATTTTATTAATTTTTATGTATTTATCTAAATGTTATTCACTTTATTAATACTTACAATCAAGCCACTTTCATTGGGATTTTATTAACTCTTAATTTCATTCATTTTAATTTATACATCTAAATGTTAATAATTTTATTAATACCAATACTTGCTATCAAGCCATTTTCATTGGGATTTTATTAACTCTTAATTTCATTCATTTTAATTTATTCATCTAAAATCTAATAATTTTATTAATACCAATACTTGCTATCAAGCCATTTTCATTGGGATTTTATTAAAGCCTAATTGTATAAATTTTAATTTATTTATCTAAATGTTATTCATGTTATTAATACTTACAATCAAGCCACTTTCATTGGGATTTTATTAACTCTTAATTTCATTAATTTTAATGTATTCATCTAAATTTTAATAATTTTTATTAATACCAATACTTGCTATCAATCCATTTTCATTGGCATTTTATTAACACCTAATTTTATTGATTTTAATTTATTTATCTAAATGTTATTCATTTTATTAATACTTACAATCAAAGCCACTTTCATTGGGATTTTATTAACTCTCAATTGCATTCATTTTAATGTATTCATCTAAATGTTAATCATTTTTATTAATACCAATACTTGCTATCAAGCCATTTTCATTAGGATTTTATTAACGCCTAATTGTATTAATTTTAATTTATTTATCTAAATGTTAATAATTTTTATTAATACCAATACTTGCTATCAAGCCATTTTCATTGGGATTTTATTAAAGCCTAATTGTATTAATTTTAATTTATTTATCTAAATGTTATTCATTTTATTAATACTTACAATCAAAGCCACTTTCTTTGAGATTTTATTAAAGCCTAATTATATTAATTTTAATTTATTTATCTAAATGTTATTCATGTTATTAATACTTGCTATCAAGACACTTTCATTGGGAGTTTATTGACTTTTTTAGGAGAGCAAAAAAAAAAATATGCTAACATACAATTCTGTAAGAGCGGATGACGTGCGTCGGTGCTTAGTTGCTGTCATTAAGTAAGATTATGTGGCGCCTGCTGAAGAATTGCGCCGTATGTCCATAAAAGGGTTAATTTTTGCCAAGTCCTTAGTCCATATTTCTATGATGGAGGGAACGGGATTGCAGTAATGAGTACTGGCCGCTGCCAGCTCCTGCTAAATATAGCTCGGTCCGCTCAGAGGCAACCCACGTAGGTGTGTTCTGGGTAGGTGAACGCAGCAACACCCTTGACATTTTGCATTGAAATGGTGGAGGACCATCTGTCACCATAAGCAGCATGACCCGTATTAAATTTGGGAGCTGCGGTGATGATATTTAATACAACAAAATTGCACACTGGGAATATATAATGGCCGCTGTCACTCACATCCAGTGAGCAAACTGGGGTTGCCATGGCAACAACTACTACTGGAGAACTAAGAAACTGATTAAAAGGAAAGCAAGGAGCCTTTCCGGGGAGAGATACCTGGATGGCAGAGCCGCCTTTCAATGATGGATAAAGTCTAACGTGCTTTTCAAAAGGAAGGAAGCAAAAAAAAAAATGTCATAAGCAGCTGGATTTTCCCTAAAATAGCTTCATGGTGGGCTTGGAAGCCTCAGTACTGCAGGATAAGAACACAAAACATAAGTCAGAAGCTACTAGATGCATCAGATGAAGTAGATTTCCAATAAAGATGGAGTGAAGGAAAGGGAGGTGTGTGGCCCCTAGGAACCAAAGGGCATAAGGGCCCCATGCTCAGCTCGACCTAGGGTGCATGGTTCACTAATCTACCGTAGGTGGAAATCTTTTGTCTCGGAAAATGAAGGAGATCTCTCCAAAGGAGGGGAGACAGTTCACCGGAACAAGAGTCCACATAGGAAGATTTACCCTCTAATCAAAACTTCCATTTATTGATCAGTTTCAGTGACAGTGGTCTCCAGGATAAACAGAGAAGGTCAGTCTCCTCAGCGGGGACACAGCAATAAAAACCTCAAAGAGCAAAAATAGCTGTCACCCCAAGCCAAAAAATGGGTTACCATCTCTAGGGTAGAGATGAGAGTGAAAAAAAAACATATTTACACACGTTTCAGGGAGTCGGAGGACCCCTTTATCAAGGTGACTGACTCTGACTGTTGTCTCTGACTCCACACGCCTCTACTGCACATATTATCCACTGCTATAACCCTCTGCACTCCTCTCCTAAATATGTTACTCATGATCGTACCCTCCACACTCTTCTCTTGCACATATTATCCATTGCTTTACCCTCTGCACTCCTCTCCTAAGTATTTTACTCATGGTTGTACCCTCTACACTCTTCTCCTGCACGTGTTTCTCACTGTTATATCCTCAACACTCATCTCCTTCACCTTCACATATTGCCCACTGTCATACCCTCCACACTCCTCTTCCTCACCTACACATACTATCTATGCTACTCATGGTCATACCCTCCACACTCCTCTGCTATACCCACTGTCCGCAGTCATATTCTTTGCACTCCACACCTACACATACTGCCCACTGTCATAGCCGGCATACCTCTCTCCTCCCTCACCTGCACATACTGCCCACTGTCATACCATCCACACTTCTCTCTCGCACCTACTCTCCACTGCTTTACCCTCTGCACTTCTCTCCTATATATGCTACTCATGGTCATACCCTCCACACTCCTCTCCTGTATCCACTGTCCACAGTCATATCCTTCGCACTCCACACCTACACATACTGCTCACTGTCATACCCGGCATACCTCTCTCCCTCATCTG